AGAAATAACAAAAAAATTAGCAAAAAGAAGGTGCTAGGAGAAAAAAAAAAAAAGAAGGGACACTTACCCTGCCAGATATAATGTCAATAATAGAACCACAGTAATTAAATCAGACCACTACTAATATAGGAGCAAATAGCCTAATAGTATACAACAAAGAATCCAGAAATATGAAAATGTGATATCATGAAAAATCAGTACAAAAAAGTTAGATAATTTCATAAATAGATTATTCCTTAAATGGTGTTGGGAAAACTATCTCATTAAGTGAAGGAAAAATTAGATTTCCATTTCATACCATACTACAAAATAAATTCCAAACTGAATTAAAAACCTAACTGTGACCATAATGCTATGAAAATAAAAGAAGAAAATACAAAATAATTTTATAATCTCAGACTGCAGAAGAATTTTTAAAATAAGATTTCAAAAGCACAAGTCATAAAAAAAGTGATAGTCTGACAACACTAAAATTAAAATTTTCTGCTCCACAAAGGACACAACAAACAAATAAAAGCTTGTGAAAAAAATATATCTGCAGGGGCCAGCCCCGTGGCGCACTCGGGAGAGTGCAGCGCTGGGAGCGCAGCGACACTCCCGCCGCGGGTTCGGATCCTATATAGGAATGGCCGGTGCGCTCACTGGCTGAGCGCGGTGTGGACAACACCACACCAAGGGTTGTGATCCCCTTACCGGTCACGAAAAAGACAAAAAAAAATATATATATATATATATATATATATATATATATATATATATCTGCAATGATTAAAAGCAGCACCAAGATAATGACAGAAACCCAGTTTTTAAAAATGGTCAAAGACTAGGAATAGAAGACATACAGAGAGAAATTTAAATAACTAATAAGTATATGAAAAGATGACCAACCACATTTATAGGTAAAATGGAAATTAAGTTAACCATAAGCACATGCTTTGCACTCAATGACTGGCAAATATTAGAAAAATAGCTGAGAAGAAGTACTGGCAAGTATACAAGGGAAAACAAGAAATGTTTTTTATTGCAAATGGGAATGTGAACCTTGAGCAGCCATTTCAGAAGCAAACAGGCACAATGTATCCTACGTATCCAATAATTCAATAATTATGTATAGAGCCCAGAAAAACATTATATTAAAGAACATGAGACATTAGGTTCATTGTAGCAGTTTATTTTTTCCCTAAAAGCAAAGAGTTGGAGGCAGCCTGGATGTTCACCAATAAGGAATAGGTAGAATGTAGAATATACATATACTAGAATAACACTATACGCCAATAAGAAGAAATCAATTTACAGCTACATGATTAAGTGGCATAATATTTAGTAGAAAAAAAGTAAGAAAAATACAAGATTTATTAAACAACACCAAAAAAAAAAAAACTGTATGTAGTTTATAGTGACATGCACATTACTTCTGAGAAGTAATTGATAAAAATATTGTGTGGGCAGTGAAAGGGGAATGATAATACTAAAGATACTAAAGGTACTATACATGGACTCGTTGTGCTCATGGCATGCCATAAGAGCTGAGGAGTATGATCAATTGAATTCCATGCATGTGCTCCTCCATCCTTCCTCACAAAAAAAGAAAATTTCGGGTAAAGAAAGAACAAGGGAAGCAATATAAATACTGATCAGATGAGCGAAGTAAACTCTACCTCTGATTTATTAGCTCAAACTTGTTAGCTTAGACATCCTTATATTTTTCTCATTGCAAAATGAGAACATATTTTATAAAAATGTTTTATTAAAAAGTTGATCATTGGGCCGGCCACTTGTAGCAGTAGCAGTGCTACTGTAGCAGTGCGCCACTGGGGAGTGCAGTGGCGCTCCCACCGAGGGTTCGGATCCCACATACAGACCGGTTCCCGCTCACTGGCTGAGCGAGGTGTGGGAGCAACACCGAGGGTTGCAATCCCGTTGCCGGTCCCGGTCCAGTACGGGCGCAACACTGAGGGTTGCAATCCGTTGCCAGACACGAAAAAAGACAAAAAAGAAAAAAAAAAAAAAAGTTGATCATTATAAACTGCTTTGTAAATATCTTTGAACATATAAATGTTTAGTCCTTTCTCCCCCAAATGAAAAAAAGTACTGTAAATGAATGATTCCTGAGTTAACTTTGAGAAAAACAAAACAACACAGTAAGGAAAAATTGCTGAATAAATAAATTTGCAGTTAGAATCAAAGGAAACCAAAAAACAAATTTTAATAAAACATTTTTTTGATAAAGTACGATATATGAATGGGTGAAATAAAACACTCTAAATGAAAGAAAGTGACATAAAGAAGAAACTGTTAAATCCACAAAAGTTAAAGTATGTGTAACAATACACCGACCTATACCATGATTAATAAAAATAGAAAGCCAAAGTGAATAAAGTGTAAGAGCAAGCAAATACATATACATACTTCAAAAAGTTGGTGGAAAAGTAGTATTAAAGATAATATAAATCTTTCCATAAGCTTTTTGAAGACCCCTCATGTGCATATACGCACATGCTTGTGCACGCACACACACGCACACAAGGTAGTCTCCCCTTATTCTCAGGGGATAAGTTCCAAGATCCCCTGTGAATGCCTGAGACCACAGATAGTACCAAATCTGAGTGCCAGTCAATGGGAACGTGTTTCCATTCATGTCTTCCAGCCACAAATTTCATGCCATTTCCATCTCAAACTAAGCACTTATCACTCACGTGGCTATAACTTTTGCAGTTTAAGGTGCAACAACAAAACTAACAATTTCTTTTTCCTTTGTCACAATTTCATGGACAGAAGATTTGTCCTTAACCGTAGAATTTAGTAACCTCAGCACATGACTTTTTTCCCATTCCTTATTTAAGACAAGAACTTTCACCTTTTCACGTAAAGGAAGCACTTTACAGCTTCTCTTTGGCATATCCAAATTAACAGCATCATTACTCTTGTGTTTGGGTGCCATTCTGAAGTAAAATAAGGGTTACTTGAACACAAGCACTGCAATACTGTGACAGTCTATTGGATAACTAAGATGGTTACTAAGTGACTAATGGGTGGGTAGTGTATACAGCGTAGATACACTGGACAAAGGAATGATTCACGTCCCAGGGAGGACAGAGAGGGACTGCATGAGATTTCATCACGTTATTCAGACAGCATGCAATTTAAAACTTATGAAGAGTTTCTTTCTGGAATTTACTGTTTAATATTTTGGGACCACAGTTGACTGCAGGTAACTGAAACTGTGGAAAGCTATACCAAGATAAAGGAAGACTACTGTATACACAAAGTAAGATTACCTAGATAATAGAAACCTAAACAAAAAGAAAATAAACCTGTCTAAAGCTCTAATCCCACGTTTCTCACTTCAGTTGAATCGATCCACTTAAATGGTCCAACCAGACCCTAAACTTGAACATATGCAAAGTATTTTCATTTTGTCCCCACAAATCTGCCCCATACCTCCTCCTTCTAGTAACTGAACAACAAATGTCCAAGTCTCCCAGGCTCAAAACACAAGTATAGTATGACTCTCCCCTTTCTCTTGACTCCCATATGCTCAACTAGTTGTCAAATCCTGACTAATCTACCTTGATTAGAGTGAAATCTCTAATCACTCCCTGTCCTCTTCTATTCCCAATGTGTCCTTCCCCAACTGGTCTTTCTGTTCCCAGTCCCTCCATTTCTCATACCCCACAATTTGTCTAACTAGAATGAGGTTTTACCCAGAAATAAAACTTGAATCATGTCACATTTTTATCTACCAGCTTTCAATGGTCCAAATTCCCTCATGTGAAATTCAAGATCCACTACAACTTCACTTTAATGCCTTTCTGACACTATGCCGCACTGTTCCTTTTCAGGCACCCTATTCAACACATTTCTTTCTTGGTCTAAGCACACGTTTGGTACTGCACTACAGGTATCACTGTACACTCAAACCTCAGACCAGCTTTCAAGGCCCAGTTAAAGAGCTTCTGCCTCCAGGTACTTTCCAACTTATGGGAGAAAAAAATATTCTCCAATAAAAACAAATGACAAAATATGCCATAAGGTAACAAGAACAGGAAGAACCACAGCTAATGACCTTTAAATGTTAAGAAAGTACAGTTGAAGGAAGATGTTGATTTTGTTTGGTTAATCTTCTCCATGCTTGAGGATGTTCATATGACAGAAGGAAACACAGTTTTTTAAAGTTAAAATGAAAAAAAAGAAAAGAAAAGAAAAAACGTATATAATGGATGAATATTTTTACTTTGTTCAACATCTTATAACTCTAAATAGAATGTTTGGGTGACAAATATGAAAAGGTTACCTTGATATAATGGTCAATTACTTAAGAGAGAAGGAACAAAAAATTGCTTAATTCTGATAGAGATGGTTTCAAAGGCCATAAACATGATAAATGCTTTAATTCCCATATCAAATTCTCTACAATGAAATGGCAGATAAACCAGGATCATAATCCTATAAGCAAATTTGGATTTACTTACCTTCTGGTTTTCTACCCTGTCCCCTTCTTGCCTACTCACATTGACTCACAGTTTTATGAGATAGATTAAACCGACAATACATCACTCATCCAAGTTTAATACAACTGACTACAAGCCAAACATTCTGCTACTATAAGACCACATAAATGCTGTCATATCTTCAAACAACTTGTTTCCTGACCAACATAACTTTTAAAATTATATTAAAAGCAGTGATATAAATGTCAATAGAGGGAAAACTATGACACTATTCAAGTACTGGGCAAGTATTACCACTTATCTAATCTAAAACTTCTCAAATATTCAACATTAATAATTTTACCATAAGATGGATGGGTGCTAACCAACACAAAAATAACAAAAATAGTAAATATTCTAAATATTTACTCCTTTAAGCTAGACTAACATATAATTATATGACGGTTATATATATAGATAGATAAAAGTATTATACCATATACCGGTATATTTCAAAAACCTTGCTTATTGCAAAAACAAGGCTCCCTCTACTCTCTTCCCAAATTATACCTGGCAGCTAGGTAAATCTTCCCCAAAAAGGTGGTGCTGAAGAAGGCTTGTGATTCTGAGGAAAGGTAAGCAGAAGTCCTGTAAGTATTTTTCCATGGATTCAGGAGACCAAGCAATAGGGCTAACCTAAAGTCAAAAAAGAAATTTGAACAATTCATTCCATAATAAATATACCTTCTTTAAAAATTGCATTCACAATGGAAACAAAATTTAATTTTTTTACTAAATAACCACTACATCTAATCTTAGCAAAAGCATACCATTGCACAATCCTGAGTTCCTTCTTCATGGTACAACTTTCCTTTAGATAGTTCACTTATCACAAAGCTTAATAATATTTCATAAGACTTTTCTGCATCACATGCATTCTGGAAAAAAATAAAATATTAGTTACATAGATCACTGAGAATTTCAAAAAATTTACATTGGAAATAACACTTTTTAATGAGTAAAACTCTCATTATATTATTCTTCAAGCATATGAACTTCAATTCTTTAAAATCTGGGTAAAACCACAGACCTTTGGATTTACAAATGAAACTGAGTAGGTGGCCAAAACTAATCTAATACTTCTTTAAAAAACAGTATATACATTACATAATGTATATGTAAATGAACATATGTAAATCATGCCTTTTGACTCAGTAATTCCCACTCCTGAGAATTTTTCCTAAGGAAGTAATCCAAAAGAAAAAAAAATATCAATATGTACAAGACATCTATTGCAGCACTATAATAGCAAAAAAATTAGAAATGACCAACAAAAGTGAGGCAGTTACCTAAATTATAAAATATCGACTCAACAGAATATTTTATAAGCAGTGAATATGACAAATTTGAGCTATATGAAAATATTTACAATGTGAAAAGAGCCAAACAAAATAATACATATAACTCATTATAGTGGTACAAATCATATGCATGTTTTGTATGCATGCAATAGAAGAAAATATGTCACAATATTTTTTCTTTTATAATGTCACTCAAATTCCTTGAAGAGAATTTGTTAAAAACAATTTACTACAAAAAATAGGATAATATATTTTTTATAGAATGTACAGATAATTACATTAAGTAACAGTCTACACTTAAGCTTAATGACTACTTCCATTTTTATAAGAAAGGAAAAATAATGGCTATTTATAAATTTAAATTTATTTCAATATAATCTTTACACACAGAGAAATGCACCTCTTTTTATATTCATTGAAATATTAGAGGAAAGTGAAACATGCAAATTACAGTAAAATGTAAATTGGAATAAAGTAATAACTTTGCTATGATGTCATTTATTCTACTCATTAACTATACTTTTAAAACAGTAAAATATAAGAATTGAGTAAACAATATGGAATATAATTTTATACTGAACTTTTAACACATTGATAAGTCTGGATCACAGAATTTATCTCAGTCTTTCTAGAGTTTCCCATTGTTTCATCCATATTACTGTGCTCTTGTCAACTAGACTGTAAATTTGAAAATATCAGGAACTATGATTTTTATTTTCCAAAAATCCCTCTGCATAACAAAACTCTGAGCAATACCTGTTGGCTCACTGATGGAATTAATTTTGGTAATATTGGAGTTTTTGACCTTGGACTGGTTGTACCTCTTTTGATAATCAGTTCTTTGCATTATCTTTAAATCACTCCTCTACTTTCTGCCATATTCACTGAGCCATGTAGTATTAATGTCCTGATTCTAAACTATAAAACATCCCTGACCTCTGCAAGTGCTCTCCTTACATCATGTGACGTGAGCCACCCTTGAGTAATTAATCAACAGGATGATCACTTGTTAAATATGTTGACCTACCTATAGGTTACATATAATTCACAAGAATCAATATCCCACTATTAAAACAGCAACATATTATGTTTTTTTAATTGATTTAATTAAATTACATGTAGTTCTTAAACAGGCAGAGTTCACTTAAACTCAAAACGTAGAAAACAAACAAACAAAAATATTACCATGGATTTGCTACTATTAATCAATGTGATATATTTAAGGTTCTCTAAATATACAATCCAGGCTAAAAGCTTTCTTAATTGAGTATATTCTTTTGAGTAAAAGATTTACAGAGTATAACAGAAAAGTATTTCAAAGAATAATACTTTAATGTTCAGATCACGCAAGTAAGGTACTGAGTGATAATTTAGCCTTTGAGTCATTACAATCAAATAAATTTTAAGCACTTCCTTTATACATGGCAAATTCTATATCAGACCAAAAAGTTAAATATAATGTAAAATTCACTGCCTTGTTTTTTGTTTTGGGGGGGTCAGCTGGCCAGTAAGGGGATCCAAACCCCTGAACTTGGTGTTATCAATGACACACTCTAACCAACTGAACCAACCAGCCAGCCATGTTCACTGCTTTTTATTGAGAACTCTTTTGACCAGAAGAGTGTTGAATGGGATAAAATAATAATTTAATTTCACACATACAGAAGTCTTAAGAAAGCGTATTTTACATAAGCAATCTTTGAATAAACACAAGAGTAGTCTCATGACACTTAAAAAGAGGATTTCTAACAGCCTGGATAAAAGACTTACAATCAAGATCAGAAGAATCCTAAGGGAGAGATAAGAAACATACGTGGGTTAAATAAAGAAAAAGATCAAGAACTGAGAGATACAAGAGAGTCTGTGTGTGGGGGTAGAATATTAAAAATTCTTAAATTCCAAATTAAATTTTAAATTCTTAAAATTCTAAATTATAGTGCTTCTTAAACATTTTGGGGCGATAGGCATTTTGAGTATATTCTGGATGCTATGATCCCATTCCCCAGCAAACAAAACAAAACAAAACCTAAGAATCCCCAATTAAGAAATTCTGGTATAAAGATTCTTAAGAGGAATTCCACTGACCAAAAGAATGCAATTTACACTAACTGTAATGATGATTTTTCTAGCAGAATTAAACTTCATTATTAAATTAACTCTAAAACCCCTCTGAAAAATATATAGTAACTATATTTTTATTGCCCTAGGCCAGATTAGATCTGGCAAAAATAAGTTTTCATTAGAATTATCATACCTCTAAACACAAGGAATTAAAGAGATGAAATGAGTGAGTGAGACTTGAAGAAAGGAAGAAAAGAAGGAAAAAGGGAGTAAGAGGAGGGAAAAAGCAAAAGGAGGGAATGAAAAAAAGGAATGATGAACGATGCAGAAATCTAAGTAGTAACAGAGGCCACAGTGATATATTCCATCACACATAAATACAGTCATCCCTCAGTATCTGTGGAGGATTGGTTCCAGGACACCACCCCCACACACACACCGCTGCCTCCACCCTAACAAAATCTGAGATGCAAGTCCCTTATATAAAACAGCATTGTACAGTATACTTGTTGCTATTATTTACAATCTGCTATGTATCTGAATGTTTAGAACTGTTGTGGAAAAGGTTAATAACATGTGGCAAATCAACCTACAGACTATCACAACTTTTTGCTTTCATTCACTAACGTAATTTATATGGCTATAAGCTAATATACTTCTAATTTATGTTCTGAGAAGAATCTGCCTCATATTAAGTGTTTTACTGAGTGTTTTTTTAATAGCTAACAAGTATGAAATTGAGAAAAAAAAAACTGACAGAACAGTTACCTAAATTACATCATATTCCTTCTTCTATCATAGATTTACAATTGTCTAATTTTCTGTCATTAAGGTCTCACTTTAGCAAACACTCAAATGAATAGATTTTGACCCAAATTATATCAGCAAATGTTTTAAACATGTAATTTTTCATGATTAGATAGCTTACTAAGGAAATATATTTAAACAATGATACGGCATAAAAACCTAATATACCTAGTTTGAATACTATGTGAATACCAACAATCCAAATATCAGATTAGATTGCATTCAGAGAAATTGAAAGAATTTTTAGAAGAAAGAAAGGTGATTACAGAAGGCAAAATTTTCCAAAAACCAACTAGGAACAAGGAAAGTAATCATTCAAGAAAAAGAAAGCCATTTTGAGAATTTAGAAAAAACAGAATTTTAGAAATAGAAGGGACCTTATTATATACTGCAAACCTCTTATTTGCCTTTGGGAAAGCTGAGGATCAGATTGCTTTTATGTCTTGATCAAAAAGTAACATCTCTATCTAAGATGGCAGGAGATGGGCCTAGTACTTGGGTTTGATTGGCCAACCAATGAATATCTCTAATTAAGACATATGAACTTTGTGATGATACTATATTAAATTTTTGTATACATAATTTTGGCATGGGAGTAAACTGGTGTTAGAAGTGAAGATTATACTGAATATGTTTAATGTGTTTATAATTGGTTCTCTCTCTTTTGATACAAGTAGATATGATTTTAACAAAAACTTTTTAATGAGATTTAAAAACCACTTAAGAAACTCTGAGACAATAAAAAGTTCAATTAACACTACACCTGTTATTTTTTCCTACCAACTTCCTCAAACAAACACTGAAGCAATTTTCTTCTTTTGCCTACCTCTAAGCCAAACCACTTAGTTCTTTGGTTCTATAGTACTTCACTTGTTCTCACGCTGTTGAAAATACTTAAGTAAACTTGCATAATTTTAAAAAATTGTTTACATTATTTAATCTCAAGAGAACTCCTCTGAGTTCATTAGGAACTTTTATATATTCTAACATTAAAAAAGTAGTATTTAAAGAGGCATAATTAAGAATAGGCTAACATTTTTAAATTTAGAAGTGATGAATCAAAAGCCATCTTTGGATTATCATTGAGGATGGGGACAAAGATAAATAGGTAAGTTTGCAGATATTTTATTATCTGCTTATTCTGTTGGCACAATTTTTCTAACTTCTTTAAGTTTAACATATGCAAGAAAGGCAAAACAAAACTGCCCAAATATAAAGGGATAAAGTCCAAAGTTTACAGACAGGTGTAGAAGGCCTCGTGCTGCAACAAAAACATTTTAAACTTTTTTTAGGGTGAAGGTGCTCCACTTCCAATTAAAATACTGTTAAGTCATTTTATCTTTCAAACACTTACTCTCATTCACTCATATCCCCAAATTAAATGAGTTAATCAAACTACTAAATGACAAATTAAGAAAAGAGACTAACCTTTTTGAGAGCTCCCACATGTTTCCAGGCTGACCTGTCTTCCTCACTGCATTTAACTGAAAGTGCCACAAGAGCTTGAGTATACAACAGGGTAAAAAGTACCTTCACGATGCAGGTGAAGTGGTCTACAAGAGAAAGAAAACATCATTATTTCTTTGGAATCTAGACATTTTTTGTTCTAGATAATTTCACAAATATATGCCTTTCCTTGCACATGCAATTTGGGTTTTGTTGCACACTTACGTAGTTAATAAAGTGAAATTACAATAAGCTATTATATTTGCTGCCCAACAGATCTGAGATTATGAAAGCAAAGTTCCTCTATTCATCCACAGAATATGTAAATGAGAGGCATTTAGCATAGCAGAAAATATGCTCTCTTTTAGAAGACCAGAGTGCTAATGCCACTCAACCCTGGAACAGCAGTGGAAGCTTGGCAAATCCATTTACTGGGCTTCAGGTGCTCAATACAATCTTTAGGAGTCCTGGTGTTTAAAATCAATACATCATCTACCTCTACTATGATAGAGACCTTATAAAGAATCTATAGTATAGAATATGATATACGTCTTATAAAGCAGAAAAAAGAAATCCTAATATTTAGGTTACTGAGTTTCAAAATTCAATGAAAATTATAGCAATACAAAACAGTAGTAACAGTATATGGAGAGTTTGGCAGCTTATGACACTTTTCAGGTACTTAAAAAATGAAAACTTAACAATCATAATTAACATTTATATTTACCTAATAACTTATAAAATTTCTCCAAGTTTCTCATTCATCAAAACAGTCTCAATTGGACAACTGAACTTAAGGATATGTTTTTGAAATCAAAGCTAATAAGTACCCAGACCTGAACTTGAATCCATATAGATACTTTTCCTTCAGATTACCATTCCTTCTATTATATTATGCTAATCCCCTACTAAACAAATACCATTTAATCAGTTGCTGGAGTCATGAACTTATAGATATCCTTGACGCTCTCCTGTCTCTTTCTCTCCACATTAAAATAATCACCGAGTCCTGTCAATTCTACATTTTAAACATCCCTCAAGTCAATTCCAACACCCTGGACCAGACTTCCATCCTTTCTTGCCTACACCTATAATTCCAGCCAAAATGGTTGTGATGGGTGTCCCCAAGACCACTCCCAGGTTTGATGATTTGCTGGGTCACAAGACTCAGTATATAGCCATACTCATGGGTATAATTATGACAGCAAAAGGATACTAATTAAAATCAACAAACGGAAAAGGCATATTGGGTAAAGTCTAGAGGAAACTTCCAGAGTCCTCTCCCAGTAGAGCCACACAGGATGTGCTTAATTCCCCCAGCAACAAGCTGTAACAGCATGTGTAAAATGTATATCAGGAAATCTGTCAGAGATTCAGTGCCCAAAGTTTTTATTGGGGGCAGGTCACATAGGCAACCTCTGCCTGGCACATACCAAAATTCCAGACTCCCAGGAGGAAAGCAAGTATGTGTGTTCAGCACAAAGCACACTGTTTATACAAACAGTTTAGACATAGTAAATCACTTATTAGTTCTGGGAATGGTGGGATCCCTCATGAAATCCAAGTTCCAAGATGCCAATCAAGGCTCAACCTTGCAAGCAGACCTTTCAAAGTAAGGCCTTCTATGTTAATTCTTTTCTGCCCAGTATTTTATCTGCATCACCTCTTAGCCCCCTGCAATCTGTTTTTGTTATTACATCCAGTTTCTCCAGCTTTACTGAGGTATAACTGACAGAATTGTATATATTGAAGGTATACGATCTGATTTTTGATGTAAGTATACATTGTGAAATGATTGCCATAATCAGCCTAATTAACATATCCATCACCCCACACAGTTACCTTTCTTGTGTGTATAGTGAGGAAACTTAAAATCTACTCTCTTAGCAAATTTCAAGTACACAATATAGTATTAACTACAGTCATCATGCTGTACATTAGATCTCCAGAGCTTATTTATCTCATAACTGAAAGTTTGTACCCATTGACCAACATCTCCCCATTCCCCCACGCCCTTGGCTCTTGATAACCGCTCTTCTACTCTGTTTCTACGAGCTCAGCTTGTTTAGATTCCACATGTAAGTGAGATTATGCAGTATTTATCTTTCTGTGACCAGCTAATTTCATTCAGCATGATGTACTCCATGTTGTCGCAAATGGCATGGCTTCCTTCTTTTTTAAGGCTAAATAACATTCCATTGCATATATACACCACATTTTATCCATTCATCCAGTGATAAGACACTTAGGTTGTTTCCATATCTTGGCTATTGTGAATAATGCTGCAATGAACACAAGAGTGCAGATATCTCTTTGAGACAGTGATTTTATTTCCTTTGGATATACATCTGGAAGTGGAATTGCTGAACCACATGGTAGTTTTATTTTTAATTTTTTGAGGAAACTCCATGCTGTTTTCCACAATGGCTGTACCAACTTAGATTCCTACCAACAAGGTATAAGGGTTCCTTTTTCTCTGCATTCTCATCAACACTTGTTATCTTTTTGATAATAACCATCCTAACAGGTAAGAGGTGAAATCTTATTGTGTTTTTGATTTCTCTGAAGTTAACTGATGTTGAGAAGACTAATCTTTTTAAAAAGAATATTTGGCATCGTTCCACTGGGCTCTGTACAAGTTGAAACACTCTTCCCCTCCTTACAGCCTGGCTAATTCCAAAATCAATCACAGCACCTTAAAAGTCACTCCCTAAGGAAGATCTCCCGATTTTAAATTGTGTGCACATACGTGTGTGTGTGTTCCCATGTGTACGTGCTGTCTCTTACCCATACTGATCAGTTGGGATGGGGACTTGACATAGGCTGAGTCAAGCAGAGTACCTCTCCAGGATTTTTATAACTGGAGGTGAAGGGAGATATAAAGATGGGAGACTGGGAGTGCCACAGGCCATGCTCCTGGTCTATGGCAGAGCATGTATAAAGAAACTTACCCACAGAGAAAAGAAGAGACTGAACAGGCAAAGAACCCTCCAACATCTGAAACCCTGGTTCTGGTTATCCCTAGGACTACCCCCGACTCCTACAGTTTGGTTATGTGAGTCCCTCAGTGCACCCCTTTTATGCTTACAAGATAGCTCCAAATGGATTTCTACCCCTTGCAACAAAAACAGTCCTAACACCTAGGTACTTAACACATGCCAAGATATAGACACTAAGAACTTACAGTCTGGACAGGGACTGAAAGATGGCTATAAGCATGTACAGGGTGTAATGGGAACAAACAGGAGTAATGAACTTAAACAAAGGATACAGCACTAGAAAAAGAAAAAGGAAAAAAAAAAAAGACTCCTGCCACAACAGGAAACTTAATATTGAATGATGAAGAAAAATAAGCTATAACAAGGAATGCAGCGATGGAATCACGTAAGGAAAAGGGAATTTTGGACAGAGGAAGCAGAGCACAGAAAGAGTCTAAGACTTACAAGAACTGTAAACTGTCCAGTGTAACTAGAATACAAGTAGCAATTTTTTTTTTTTTTTTTTGTCTTTTTCCGTGTCCGGCAACGGATCGCAACCCTCAGTGTCGCCCCCGTACCGGACCGGGACCTGCAACGGGATCGCAGCCCTCGGTGTTGCTCCTGCGCCTTGCTCAGCCAGTGAGCGGGAACCGGTCTGTATGTGGGATCCAAACCCTCGGCGGGAGCGCCGCCGCGCTTCCCAAGTGGCGCACTTAAGCAGTGCGCCACCAGGCTGGCCCAAGTAGCAATTTTTGAGAGAAGAAGCTGGAAAAGTAATCTTTATGCTGAAGACCAAATGTTACAAACTATAGGCTACCCATCTGAATGCAGCATGAAGAGATGTTTGGTCTGACCTTACCCTGTTGTGTTTTGTTTTTAGTTGCTGACATTTAAAATAGATTTCTTATAAAAGTCCAGAATTCCACTTACTCTTGAAAAATGAGAAGATCTAGTAAACTGGAACCACATTTTTACATCTCAAAATTATCTGGAGCTGTGTAATAACTGTTCCCTTTGGCCAAGAATGCATTCTCTAGCCTGTCACAGTCCCCTGCTCGTAATTACAGATTGAGTATACCATATCCAAAATGCTTGGGACCAGACATTTGGGTTTTGGATTCTTGGATGAGGGATACTCAATCTGTATCAAATCAAAGACTATTTTACATGGAGATAATATATAACACTGTTGGTAAGAATGAATTTGGGCTAGGAAGCCAAATTATTAAGATTTAAATTCTGACATTTACAGACTGATGTTGGGCAAGTTAGTTAAACATTCTGTGCCTTTCTTTCCTTATATGTTAAATGGGGACAATATTATCACCTACCTTAACGGGGTCAAGTGAAATAAGGTTTAAACATTTAAATGCTTAAAAGAGTAATTGGCAATGGCAGACAATCAGTAAATATTAGCTGTTTCTAATATTATTATTGATGTTACTTTTTTGATCTCTATAGGCATTTGAATTTATAGCACCTAGACTGAAGAGAATGAGAAGCCACTGAAGCATTTTAGGCAGGAGAGTGATAACATTAGATATGCCTTTTATAATATTCGTTGTTGCTTTTTAGAAGAAGGGGATTGGAACAAGGCAAGACTAGAGGGAAGAACACCTATTAGCAAATAGCAAAAGCACTATATACGTATAATAAATTAGGATGCCCTGCACTAAGGAAGAGCAATGAGGATAAAGAGAATGGGTTAAATTAGAGAAAAGTTTAAATGATAAAAATTATAGGATTTGGTAGAACTTTGGCGATAGAGGATGACAGTAGTATTGCACTGTACAAAGGGTAGATGATAATAGCGTTGACCAAAATGAAAAACACAGGAAGAGAGCACTTTTGAATGAGAAGAAAATTCATTTAATGTTGTATATTTTGAGCTTGAAGCATGTGTAGGAATTTGAGTCTGAAACTCACCGGGAGTTATAGCCTGGAGCTAGAGATTTGGGAATCATCAGAGAATAGGTACAGTGGAAGCTGTGGGAAATAAGATAAAATTGAGAAAGAAGGGGATAAGAACTAAGGAATAATTCAAAGAGTGGTAAGAGAAAGAAGTAAATTAAAAAGAGCCTGAAAATGAGTAGAAGAAGAGATATTAAGAGAATCAGGAAAAGATGGTG